CTTCCACCAAACATGCAACTTCAGGAGGGTGGCACTGAGGGAGCAACGAGGGAGGAAAGTGACATCAGCCTAGCCAGCCAGATCAGCCAAATGGAAATCAATGGAGTGAGAGCTGTCACACGCAGATCTCCCTCACATCTTGAGCTCTTGTCTCTGCTGGTCTATATCTCAGCCTTCCATGCTGGATGGAAACTAGTTGCTAAGTCAGTCAAGAGAGAATCCTCATCTTTGATATCTGATCAATTTCACCAGTCCTTATAATGCTAAAGTCCTTAGTTTGACTTTAGCAAGAAACTTGTTAGCTCCATTTAGCAAGAATTTCAATAGCTTGGAGCTTGGCTGGGCATGGTGGGACACGCCTTTAATCCCAGCACTTGGGAGGCAGAGACAGATGATCTCTGTGAGTTGGAGGCCAGCCTGATCTATATAGTGAGTTCCAGGCCAACTGGGGCTATAGGGAGACCCTCTCTCAAGCCGATTAAAAAAAAAAAGAAAAGAAAAGAAAAGAAAAATCAATATACTGACAACCTCCTCTGGTTCCTTGACTGTGAATTCCCACTTATTTACCATTGCTATCTTTGAGTTTGAGACCACTTCGACATTGGTATTGCAATAGTAATGGCCTTTCTAGGTGTCTTCCTTGCCCTCTTTAACAATTCAGAAGCTATAAAAGATAGCAGTGATAAATTCAACTATATAAACTAATTAAGTGGTAAAAATCATCATTAGCAGGATCAAAAATTAAACTAAGGGCCAAGTGTGGTGGTTCACACTTTTAATCTTAGCACTTGGAAGGTAGAGGCAGGAAGATCTCTGTGAGTGTGAGGAGGCCAGACTGAACTACATAGCAAGTTCCAGGCTAGCAAGAACTACATAGTAATACCCTGTCTCAAAAAAAAAAAAAAAAAAAAGGAAAAGAATTTGTGATCACACACAGGAAAAAGGAATCAAAATGATTAATCAATTTATGAAAAGATGTTCAGTTGCATTTGAAATAAAAATATTTAAATCAGAATGCCATTCAGAGTAGTAAAGATAAAAACATTTGATTGCATGCATTTCCACACGTTGCTATATCAGTGTCAACTAGAGAAAGATTTTATAGGGTCTCTCAAAGTTATAAATCTATAAACCTATCTTTGGCTCAGTAATTCCATGTACACAAATTTATCCTACAAACATACCCAATATGTGTAATGACTGGCACATTCCAGGTTACTCATTGTAGCATTATAATAGTGAACGACTGAATTCCCACAATTTGACAGCAGAGGACAAGTTAAACACTGTAAAACAAAATGTTTTACTACTGTACAAACTACGGTGCTTATCATTTTTGCAATACTATAATAAAAAATGCTCAGATTTTCAAGACTCACATGGCCTGGGCTGGCCTCATAGTCTGAGATGCTCAGGGAATAACTCATGCTGTAAATAGTCTTTCAGTGGTAAAGGAGGGATGTGATGAACCTTATGCTTTTACTTTCCTTTCTACTTACCTGTTTATTTTATTTTGTTTTATTATTATTATTATTGTGTGTGTGTGTGTGTGTGTGTGTGATGTGATGTGATGTTTGTGCATGTGTACATGTACCACAGCAGGCATGTGGAGATCAGAGGACAAATTTGTGGAGGTGGTTCTTTCCTTACACCTCTCCTTGCACCTTTATGTGGGTCCCAGGGTCATCAAGCTTACACAGCAAGTACTTTACCTACCGAGCCAGCTCAAGGGTATCATGTAGCTCAGGGTGGCCCTTCAACTCCTTATGCAGCTGAAGATGACCTTGAATTCCTGATCTTCCTGCCTCTACCTCCCAAGTGCTTGGATTACAGGTGTGTGCCACCATGCCCAGCTTTTTAATTTAATTTTTTTGAGGGTGTCTGATAATGCTACATTCTGAACACACAAAGGGTACAAAATGATTTTTTTTACAGAATATTTCAAAGGATAATGCCAGTCTATCATTGCAAAGTACCTTCACATACTGTTACTGTAGGTCATTTTGTCTTTTAAAGTAAGGCACCATATGTCCACAGTTTTGGCCTGTACTGAAACGGGGAGAAAGAGGGTCCCCTAGAGGGTTCTTAGTCTCATTCATAAAAGAATTGAAAAATGGACCTAAATGGCAGAAAGTGGACAGACTTACAGAGACCTACATGACTGTGGCTGGTCAGAAGTTCTGCAGGCATGCCCAGCTTTTTAAACTTTTCTTCCTACAGCAAGAAGTGAGGTTACTTGGGAAGAGTAAAGTACAAATGTTGAGAGGATAAAATAAGGGATTTCTCAAGTGTATTAGAGGATCAAATGAAGTTGGAAACCATAAACTGATGACGGCATTAGTCAGTCTGGGATGTTCTTCAGAACTGCTCAACAACCTGAGGATGGGGGCTTAGGAGATAGGTTGAGTGAGAAGATTAAAGTGCTTGAAACTGGAAAAATGTGAAAGAGATCAAGTCAATCTTTTCAAAGTTAACTAGTCTAATTAGGTGTGCCATGATTCCAGAGCCTGACTCTGGCGGTCCAGCCTACTTGCTTTTATTGTTTCCCTCAGAGGTGATCAGGTTTGGGAAAGTAATATATTAATCAAACTTAGAGGACAGTAGTTGATAAAACAGATCAACTGATTCATTTAAAATGAAAATTATGGGGCTGGAGAGATGGCTCAGCGGTTAAGAACACTGGTTATTCTTACAGAAGACCCAGGTTCGAATCCCAGCACCCACATGACAGCTAAACAACTGTCCGTAACTCCAGTTCCAGGGGATCGGACAGTCTCTTCTGTCCTCCACAGGCATTGCACGACACTGTTGCACTTACCTACATGCAGGCAATACACGCATACACATGGAATAATAATAATAATATTTTTTAAAAATCAATTAAGCTGGGTGTGGTGGCGCACGCCTGTAGTCCCAGCACTCGGGAGGCAGAGGCAGACAGATCTCTGTGAGTTCAAGGCCACCCTGGTCTACATAGTGAGTTCCAGGACAGCTGGGGCTACAGGGAGACCCTGTCTCAGAAAGACCAAAAAAAAAAAAAAAAAATCAATTAAAATGAAAATTATAAGTCAACATGGTGGCAATAGGCCTGTAATCCCAGCTACATTTACTTGATTAATATATTTGGGCATATATTTTATGCTTACCGTCCATTTGAATTTCCCATCTTTTTGTTTGTTTGTTTGTTTGAGACAGGGGTTTTACTATGTAGCCCTGGCTAACCTAAAACTCACTATGTAAACCAGGCTGGTTTTGAACTCACAGAGATCTGCCCACCTCTGCCTCCCAAGTGCTGGTGTCACACATAGCCTTGAATTCCCTTAAGAGACAGCATGAGGCTGAGTTTAGGCCTTTAATCCCAACACCCTGGAGGCAACTGGAGGCAAAGACAGCCCAGTCTACAGGCCAGCCAGAGCTACACAGTGACACTCTGTCTCAAAAAACAAAAAGAAACCAAAACCAACCAATCAAACAAACAAAACAGTTAAAAGGAGCAACAGTATATACTGCTCTCCACTTCCAGGTCTTTCCAGCTGAAGGATCCTGCCACCATGAACTCTGTCAGTTTTCCGCACTTGATGAACTGCACTCTTAAACAATGAGCCAAAATAAGCCTTCACTTTAAGTTGATTTTGTCAGGTATTTTGTTTGGTACATTGTTTAAGATGCATTGAAGGCATTTGCTCCTGCCCAAGGCTATCCTGAGTGTCATCCAAGAAACCAACAGAGGCTTCCTATAAGATTACCCCAAGACTGCTTTGTTCAAGTGTCCCGGATGACAACACAATGCAGAGGTTTTTAGTATCCAAGTTCTCAGTCTCCTCCCTCCCCTCCCCACCCCACCCCACCCTGCGCCCTAGTCATGCATTGTGTTTTTTCTCCTCCATATTTTATCGAAGTTTATCTAAATTGCATCCCAAGTGTAATAGAGACACATTTATCACTTAAAACAAAGAAAATAATCTTACCAGGATGTTGTGGGAAATGAAAGAGTGGCACTTCACCCAGACAGACATAGAATTCTTGAGGCAGGTTTTAGTCTGTCCGCTATTATTTTATTTCAATGGGCAGACCAGTCTCTAGGCACAGTCTAGTCTTTGTGGCTCTCTCTCCTGAAACAAGGTCTATTAATGCCTGGGTTGATCTTGAACCGGCTACCAAGGATGACCTTGAACTTCTGATCCTCCTGCTTCCACCTCTGGAGTGCCCGCATTACAAGTGTACCACCATGTCAGGTTTTTTTGATGAGGCTCAAACCCACGGCTTTCTGCATGTAGGCAAGCACTCATCCAACTGAGGTACATCAACGATCCCTTTGATTTTCCTTTTTTTTTCTTTCTTTTTTTGCTCTTTTTTGAGACAGGATCTCCCTGTAGCCCCAGCTGGCCTGGAACTCGCTATATAGACCAGACTAGCAGTGAACTACAGAGATCCACCAGCCTGCTTTCACCTCCTGAGTGCTGGGATTAAAGGCATGTGCCACCACGCCCCGCAATCCCTGTTTTTTTGAGACAGGATCTCACATACAGGCTGGACCTTGAACTCCTGTTCAGGGCCTCTCAAATAATAGGATTACAGACATGCACGAATTCGCTTGAGACGTTTATTAAAGGCTATCTAGAAAATAATTTTCAGGAATCACAATGAGGCAGTGGTCTGGTTGTCCAACAGCATAGACAGTTTAGTCTCCACTCTGGTGTTTCTATCGCCCTCAACTTTCCAAGACAGCCAAGACTGTTTCAGGATCACCACCAGGCCAAGGCTGCCTCAGAGAATCCGGAAGCACACGCCCCAGCGTCCAGCCTTCCAGCGCCTCAGCGTCGTTCGGTGGGGGCGCGTTACCCCAGTGCACTGTGGTCGTTGTAGTCCGGCCCGAGCAGGAGACGCCCACAGTCCCGTGACACGGCTGCGCCTGGCTCCACCCTGCAGTGTCCCTCCCCGGCCGCTGCGGGGCCTGCGTTGCCGGGGCGCCGCATTCCAGCCAGTTAGCTGTTTCTCTCCCAGCACAGGGCGGAAGCCCCAGGAGCCCGGGGAGGAGCTTCGCGCCCGGAGCGCACGCACGCCCACCCGCCCTACGTGCTCGCTCGCCTCCGTCCGCTGCGCGCGAGCCCCGAGTCTCCGCGGCGGGCGGCGGCGGCGGCGGCGGCTGCGGCGTTGGCGGAACGCGGAGGGGGCGGAGAGAGCCCGCGGCGGCGGTGGCTACTGCGAAATGGCGGAGACCGTAGCGGACACTCGGCGGCTGATCACCAAGCCGCAGAACCTGAATGACGCCTACGGGCCGCCCAGCAACTTCCTCGAGATCGACGTGAGCAACCCGCAGACCGTGGGGGTCGGCCGGGGCCGCTTCACCACCTATGAGATCAGGGTCAAGGTGAGCGTCTTCCCTTCAGCCCGCAGCGGCCGCGGGGACGACCCCGACGCGGGGCCGGGTGGGTGACGGTGGCAGCCGGGGCCAGGACCCCTGCAGACCCCTGGCCGGCCCTTGGCGCCCCGGACTCGGAGGGTTTGTATGAGGACCCGCCCGCGCTGGCCCTGGGAGAAGGTGCTGGAAGAGGAGGGCGTGCGCTGAGTACCGCCCGCCCCTCCACAGCTGATCTGGGATTGACATTTGAGTTGGGATAGGAAGATCTTTTAAGAACACAGCCCTCGGGAAAGGGAGTTAGGTGTGACTAGGAAAGGATTTGGACGAAGTTGAAATCTTGCCAGTTGTTTTTTTTTCCTGGGAGCTTACCAGGACCGGGCCAAGCTGAACTGGCGGTTCATGCCCTTCAAGCAGCAGTTTAAGTCCTCTGAGCAGAACTTGACGGGAGTTTACAACGACCAGACCAGTTTTTTTGGTAGGGCTCAACCAGGCTAAGGTTAAGTGATGGGAAATGGGTGATCTTAACATTCTTGACTCTCATCTTGCTGAAGGCCTAGATGTAGGGAAATGTCACCTACCATATCCACGATTCCAACTGCCAGGAGAAAACCTATTCATAAATATCTTGCTCTCTTAATTTCGAGATTTCGCTTCCCTGAGTGAAGGAATCAGGAAAAGTAGAAACACATACTTAGAATTCAGAACTAGTGTTTTTTGGCAATAAGATGATTTGAAAGATGCTAATTGAAAATAATTCACCTTTTTAAAATTAATTACATTAATTCACCCATGTAAAAAATTATTTAAAAATAAGCGTAAAATAGTTTTGGTCTTGAAAGTAATCAAAATTTACATAACAAGTTAGTGTTAGCATTTAAATGAACCAATTTCTTATTAATATAGGCTCTGTTTGGTGAACAAAATTTGCCATTTTAGCCATTTTTAAGTTTGCGGCTCAGTATTAAGTATACTTGTGTTGTGACACCCTTCTAAAGGATGATTCTTGCCAGGCATGGTGGCACCTCCCTTTTAATCCCAGCACTTGAGAGGCAGAGGCAGGCAGATCCTGGTCAGTTCCAGGCCAGCCAGGTCTACATAGTTTCAGGCCAGCGGGGGCTACAGGGAGACCCTTTCTCAAAAAGACCGAAAAAAAAAAAAAAAAAAAAAACAACCAACAACAAAAACTATTGTTGGGTGGCTGCAAAATGCAGACTCCAGTACACCTAGGGAATGAATATATATATATATTGAGATAGGGTCTCCCTGTAGCCCCAGCTGGGCTGGAACTCACTATGTAGACCAGGCTGACTTGGAACTCACAAGAGATCCATCTGCCTCTGCCTCTGCCTCCTCCCAAGTGCTGGGATTAAAGGCGAGCACCACCATGCCCAGGGGAAATACATTTTTATATAAACATATTGAAAAGGATGACTTCTGTAACATGGCAGATAGTTCACTAGAGAGAACTTCCTCGTTTGCCCTTATTCACTGGCACTTTTTTTCCTTTTTTTTTTTGTACTAACAGAAAACTTGTATTCCTATTTCTAAACTTCCAAAGCTTGTACTTCCTGTCACAATTGAGTTGGACTCTCCGCCTACACTTCCTCTGCTTAATAATTTAGTGCTTATCTTGCTGAGTGCATTGTTAAATGGGCCCTAGTATAATTCTCTTTCTAAAAATACATGATACCTTTATTACCAAATAGTTGATATCACACTTGAATGTAAATTAGTGATGGTCATTTACATGGTATAGAAAACTCTTTTTAAGAGTGATTAGTGGGTAGGGGAATCAACAAATTATATACCTACTCTGGTTTAATTTTTATTATAAACCTGCTGGTTGTGTGTTAATAACTGTGATGGTCATAACTGCAGGTATGAAATAATAAAACATAATTGAGCTTTTGATGCTGATGAAAACTGTTGAAGTTTAAGAGTATGTGAACTCAGGACACTATATAGTAAGATATTAAGCCTTATTTGAACAGCATGTAGTTTTTGAGAGTAATCATAGTCTTAAGGTAGAATGGCCATGAGATGAATAGATTGCTCATTTCATAATTTTATTTATTACTGTTCTAAACTGTTGCTGTTCTCCCTAGTTCTGACTGTTTGCCTTTTGCTATTGATTTTTCCGTGTAGAAAACCATTTTATTTTTCAGAGTTTGGGCCCTTAAACTATTTTATAGTTACTCCCTAATTCTAGTCTTGAGAAAAATGTTCAGTTTTACAAGATCTGATTGAAATTACTCCAATTCACAGGGTAATTTTATCTGGATGGTGGCACTTTAGAATGCAAGTTTCCCAATCTTCATCTATCTTAGCTGGTTTGAGAATAGTGTTTAAGACTATTAGGATCACTTGATTAGTATCTCTGGGCTTTTGAAAATAATTGGCTCAGTGTTAATGTTTTTTAAAATTGTTCTAATGGGTAGGTAACAGCAGAGAGCACCATAAATGATTAAAGGTTTAGGAAAGCTCAGGGTCTAGAATTATTTTGGCATATTAAAGGGAGGGCTGAAAGGGAAATTCAGTCACTGATTACAAAGTTTGTGTGATGGCTTTAATATTCTGGGGATTTAAAATTATTTAAAATCTACTGTTGTACATAGAGACAATTGTTTCAAGCAGGAGTGGAGGTAAAGATCTTTGAGCTTTGAGATAGTCTTGGGTTCTAAGAATAAGTGTGTTCTTTCCTATCAAGGCAAGATACAAAAAAAAAAAAAATCAAAGTTCTATTTCCTCTCCCTGAAATGGATAGCTGGTAATAGTTCTACCTCATAGGACTAAATGGGATAGCACATATAAATAAATTTCTTTAGCACAGTGTTTGGCACATAATATTTACTCAAAGTCTATAAATATCTTTACACTTTACAAAAGTGAAAAGTCAACATTCAACTACATTTTCTCTGCATTATTGTGCTGTCCCATTACTAAACTAGGTTTCTTATGAAAAAGACTACTTGAGGCTGGGTATGGTAGCACATGCATTTGATCCCAGCAGGGGCAGGCAGATCTCTGAATTCAAGGCTAGCCTGGTCTACATTAGCAAGTTTCAGGCCAGTCAGGGCTACACAGTGAGACCCTATACTTGAGGGAAGGTATGGAAGAATACCTTCTTTGAGGCAAGCATGATACTAGCCATGTTGAGCCAGGTGTGGTGGCACACCCCTTTACTCCCAGCAAGTGATTTCTGAGTTCAAGGTCAGCCTGGTCTACATAGTAAGTTCCAGGCCAGCCAGGGTTACATAGTGAGACTGTCTAAAAAAAGAAAAAATAGCAACTTGATAGCATTTGCCATTCTAAACTTATATAGGCTGTTCTTTGGGTTGGTCCTTTTACTAAATTGGGAATCATTAATATTGAGGTTAGATCCTGAGGAAAAATACTGTTTTGAACTTACTGTTAGGCTTTACAACCATTTTGTGAAAGAGTTGAAATATTTATTTTGGTTGTTTTGGAGACAGGGTCTCCCTGTAGCCCCAGCTGGCCTGTGTAAGACCAGGCTGGCCTCACAGAGGTCTGCCTGCTTCTGCCTCCTGGGTGCTGGGATTAAAAACTTGTGCAGGCTTATTTATTTAGGTCTTCTGAGACAGGGTCACAAGTAGTCCGCCAAACTAGCCTGTGCTTTTAGCTCCTCATCCTTCTGCCTTGATCTTTCAAGTGCTAGGATTGCAGCTTTGCAACACCATGCCTAGCCAAAGTAGTGTTTTAGAAAGGGTGTTTGTTTGTTTGTTTGTTTGTTGTTTGTTTGAGACGGTCTCATTTTGTGGCCCTGACTGGTCTGGAACTCACAGAGATCTGCCTGCCTTTACCTCCCCAGTTCTGGGATTTAAATGGTACGCCACCAAGCCTGTTTAAAAATCATGCCATTTTGACATCGCAGGATGTTTCAGTCCTTTTTAGCTGGGGGTTGGGAGAAGGTTTCCTGCGTGTGCACCTGTGCACAGGTGTGTGGAGGCCACAGGTCGATTTTGGGTGGTGTTTCTCAGGAACTGTCTACCCTTTTTTTTAGTTAATTAAAAAAAAATTAGCTTTTGTGTATAAGTGTTTTGCCTGCATTGTCTGTATGTGCACCTGTGTGTATGGTGCCTATGGAGGCCAGAAGAGGGTGTCAGGTCCTCTAGAACTGGAGTTAGGGATGGTTGTCATCCCTGTGTGGGTGCTAGGAACCTAACCTGGGACATATGCAAGAGCAGCCAATTCTCTTAACTGCTGAGCCATCTCTCCAGCTTGTTTCTGGGTTTTTGTTGAGACAGGATATCTCACTAGGACCTGGAGTTTGATTCACTGAGTTTGGCTGGCCAGGAATCGGCCTATCTCCACCTCCTCAGCCCTAGGATTTTAAGGAGTCTACCACCCTGCCTTGCTTTTTACATGTGTTGTAGATGATCCAACTTGGGTCTTGATGATTGCATGGCAAAGCACTTCACCAACTCAGGTATCTCCCCACCTCTCATTTTTGTTTAAGTCATGATCTGTGTATGTCAGTCTGGCCTTATGGTCCTTCTGCAACCTCTTGAATGCTGTGTACAGACATTCACTGTGCCTCCCTCTTTTTTTAAACCCATTAGCTTTCCTCATTCCTATTTATGCTTCTGCTAAGCTGAGTTCTGTCCTATTCAGACCTTTGCATATACTTCCTCTTTTTAAAAACAGCCTTCCTTCACTAGCCTCATCTGGCTCTGACTGCCTACAGCACTTAGCCTTAATGTCCCCTTTGTAGAGATTTTGCTGATCCCTCATCAGTAGCCTAGTTTTACTTCCTGTGTGCCTTAGTTGCTCTGTTTGCTTGTCGGTGGCTTTCTGTAGTTCTTATATTTTCTACTGTGAACTCCTAGGGGGACAAAGACTAACCTATTCATCCTTTCTCAATACCTACCAAGGTACCTGGCATATAGTGGACACCTAAGTTATGTGAAGTTTAGAAGCATTAAAGATAGTAGTGGCGAAATTGGAATTTGTCTTGATTTTCTGATATCCAGAACTTTAAAAAATTTTTT